TAAATAGTAAAAAAAGAGCTATCCGGCTGGTGTGGGCATTCTACTCTTTCTGTAGCTTTTTTTGCTGGTATCTCTTGAATCACCGTCTCACTTGGTGAGACCTGTAGACTCTTACAAAGAGGAAAAGAATCCCCTGCTATTGCACAGCTTTACAAGATTTACCAGGTCTTCACAAAGTCATCGGCAATGATCGGTGGGAGCCAGCCAACTGCCCCATCAAGCCGAACACGCCCAAAAATGAGTAGATTTTTGAAAAAAAGTTTCTACCTCAGCTATGCTCAGTCCGTTCACGGGACCTGGTGTGTCTTCTTCAGTCACGACTAGTACGGGATGATTCCGGGGACCGTCACCAGGTGAAGTATAGCACAGCACCGTAAGGTTATAGTGACCTGAAGAGCTACATTTAACTTCACTTCAATTGATTCAAGAAGAGAATCTTGGAAAAATAATAAAATCCAGTTCCACAGAGATCTAGATTTCTTTGAAAAAAATTGGGCGCCGACGCAGCTGGGGAGAGTGGGAGCCACATGGCTCACCCACAAGACCAAAGCTGCTTTTCTGCGCATCTCAGCGAGATGGTATCTTCTGGCCGCTGTGCTCATGATCAAAACTGCCGCCGAGCCCTTTTCCCGCACCTGGCACCCCTCCCAACTACGCTAGCGCTGAATATTCAATGAAAGACTGAAAACTACCGTATTTTTCCAAATCATCGACAACCACTTTGAGATCGCGAGAAGTTGGATCCACTAGCACTTGCCGATAGAGGCTGCTATGCTGTGGCACGCCTTTCCAAAATTCAACCTGAAAATTAGATTGTTGAGAAAAAAAAATCAAAAATTTGGCAAAATCTAATACCCTCCCAAAGAGCTACCTTGTATCCCAGGTTGACGCCAGGTATTCTTTGTTGGTCCGGAGCCGTGAAGGTGACTTCGACGGCTGTAGAGTTGAGGACATTCGCTATGACGTTCTTTGGCGCTTGTGTCGGAACTGTAAGAAAGAAAATTCTAGTGGAAAAAGTTTAGCCTACGCCTATCCCCAACTGTCAACCCTAGCGCTCATCCTAGCTGTCACTGCAATGGCCGAGCTAAAATCTGATCGGAAACCACAATTTGCGCCGCACTTGCCTTCAAGCGGAAACTGTGCCTCGTCCGGGTGTGGATGTGTTAAAGTACAAAGATTCTGTTGCTTTTCACTCTCAGCGGATTACGATACCCTAATGTTAATCCGATTTGCGTGACACGCTTCAATTTGGATTCCCACTGACACAAAAAAACCTGGAAAAAGCGACCTAAGCGCTGCGCAGTCACGAGCCTAGGCCTTGTCTCGCATGGGTTTTGGGTTGCCGAAGTGTCAAAGAATCGGTAGCCGGTAGGAATTCGCTTATCACCTTATTTTGCTACGCTCCCTCCCCTCACTTGCTCCTTCGGCAGAACTCCTAATTCATAACATCTCTATCCCATAATAAACCTAAAAAAAAAAAAAGGAAAAAGCAAATGAAAAAAAATACCTAAAAAAAGAAAAGCTGAAGAAACCTAAGTCTTATATCGCGCACCTGAAACGGGAATATTGAAAATTGAATTTTCTCTCAAGGGTCACAGAGCTCGACTTCGCTGCGGATGATGGGGCGTGTCCTCGCGACTGCGTTTGGCGCGTACCGTATGGTACGTCGTGCCAGTCGTTTTCCATCAATTGCTGCCACTTGCCCTCTCAAACAACTGGTTACGAATGGGCTTAGCGGCATACCAAACGCAGCCGCGTCGGCAGGCCCCACCAACCGCAGCGAACCGGACTTTATGACCCCCTCCAAACCGGGAATGTGACAAGACAATCCTGATATATCGCGCTGGTGGCCGTTGTGGGCGACGCCACCGCGGCAGACGAATTGTCCTGGCTGGCCGATTATATCGAGAAACGTCCGCACGTATGCCGCGCGCGACGACATGAGTACGATTGTCTTGCTGATGGCCCATAGGTGCAGAACCTTTTTGCGGTTAACTTTGAATGGCGCTGAGGTAGCATAGGTAATGGCCTGTTATTTTGCCTAACAGTGAAAATGACGTGTCACTGACGTCACACAACACATTAATGACGTGTCTTGAGACGTCACTGACGAGATAGAATGCCAGTTTACTTGTCACTAATGCTGTAATACAACGGCCTTGTGCTACACTTGCGTCTTTTGACAGAACCCTTCATTTGGCGCAAAACAGCGCATGGAACGTCACTAAAACCTCTAAAATCTGACAAGATTACCTCCTTCAGCAGTTGTCACATCGATACTTTTGCTGAAGACGCCCAATCCTCGATGATTGTACGCCGCAACCTGGATCTCGTATTCCCGCCATGTAATCAGCTGGTCAATGGCCTAGATGGCAAATATTTGGCATAGCGACAACCTACACCATTGAAACTTGAGTAATTCATTCATTCAATACATTCACGACGTTCCCTTTGTCTCTCATTACCTTTACTAGAAATTCTGCAACAAATCATCCGTGGGAGCAAGATCTTTGGGTACTTGGGCTTTAGTCCATTATGGATTCCCATTACAAATCAGCAACCCATTGCAGTTTTCAGGCACTGCAGTTTTCCCAAAAACTGGCACCACAGTGGGGACCGGGAGAAGGGGGGGGGGAGGGAGTGATGGACGGAGCGACAAATTCAACTTTCAGATGTAACCCTGCAGTAAACTCCTGTATTAGAAAAAATTCCTATCAGACACCCTAATCAGTGACCACGACCCTCTCATGCGATTCTCCGATGTCATACTCCAGAGAAGGGAGGGAATACTTCTGCTGCGGCGCCAAACTAAAAGGCGTAGGTGTACCGCGCACACGAAACGGGAAAATGGGAGCTGTGAAAAACTTCATTGTTAGCGTGCAAAAAAAACCTTATCAAGGCCAGAGAGGACCCTCTCCTACCCGATGACCAAGCATGACCCTCGAATGAGATTCTCCCAAAGATGCCGTATCCTGGGAAGGGAAGGAGCAGTTCTGCGGCGATGCCAACCTTAAGCGCACAGGATATGCAGCGCATAGGAAGCAGGAAAAAACGGAAGTAAACCAACAGTTGGGAAAACTCTCGTGCGGCTCGGAAAGAGTCGCACCAAGGCTAGACGCGACCCCTTCCACCTTCTTCCCAGCAAGCAAGTATGACCCCTGATGGGATTTTTCCAAAGATGCTGTTCCCTCCCTGCCGGGGAAGGATAAGAACTCCGGGGTGATTGAAAAACTACTCAAGAAGCGCAAAAATCCCTCTCTGTTTAACAAAACGGGTTTACCACGGTGGAGATAGTGTAGTTGCCACGTCTCTGAACCCCTCAGAAGTAGCGAATCTCTCTGGAAGGATGAAAAAAGTGACTTCTACACCAGCAGGCCCCGAACGCCATTGTTATCCCACGCAGTAAGCCACTGACTCTTGATGGAGGTAAAATGCGCGCTAAGAAAGGGTTCTAACGACCTTCCTTTCCAAACAAAGGCAATCTTGCTTGGCCCAGGTCGAACAGGACTAAACAGCCAGCTATTCGCACACTTAGCAACTACAGGGGAATCCTCGTCGTGGTTATTACTTAAAACAAGCTCTTTCCACAACATAAGAAGGTTCACTTTGATTTTGACGCCCTAGTTTTCAAAATTTAGGCTAGATTTCTATCGAAATTCCCCGTCCTTGATAGTAGATTTTGATGGAAATCTGTTACCACGGGTAGCATGATACTATGAGTCTGGAGATCACATCTGCTTGATGCAAGCGCATATGGCGGTTGGCTTATGGGCGTTTGCGCTACAGGTCTATTATGGGCCTGAAACAGGGGTCTCAGGCGTTTTTGCGCCTAATGGACTCGATATATCTGCGCGTTCAGGGGAGCGACTTATCCCCTGGGGGCCAAGTTCACGCCAAAGAAGGATCAGAGAACAAACTGCGATAAAAATCTAGCCTCATAAAATTTAGCCCACCGAAAAGTGGGTCACTGAAGGGCACGCAGTACCGAATTGAAATCGTTGGAATATACCACTATTCGGCTAGGTGGTGAGGGGGGAGGCATTTTGCACTATTGTCACTTCAGATTCGGGTTGTGTAGAACCCCACCAAGTAAAAATGTGTGAAATCTTGTGAAGCCATGAAGTGATAGCAGTCAAAAATTCAAGAAACTGCTTGTCATCTCTTGCGAACTCTTATAAAGTTCACCTGTCAACTCCTGTAAAGCAATTAGCATGACGATGGGAAGCAGAGAAAGTGAAAAATGCCCCCCCCCCTCCGCCAAACTGCCGTGGAATTTCGTATACTTTCGTACGCTTACACGTCAGCTCTTTTCAGAGAACAACCAGGAGCGCAGAATCTTGGCAACCCTCCAAGCACTTTTATTTGAACCAAAACAGCCCTCGCATCACGAAATTACCACCATTTTGCCCTTAGTTAACATTCACAGCCGACATTTCAAACAAAGCAGGTGGTCGTCTGGGCGCTACTGTGCAGTCAATTACTATTCATCTTGCTGCCTATAGATTTAAAATTCAAATCACCCTTGTTCAAACAGCCCTGTACTATTTCATTCCGCTGTATTAGTCATGTAAACCTGTACAGGCCAAAATTTCCCCAAACCTCTAGCTGGTTCCATAAAAAGGCCCCGATACTTCACAGGCCACCATCGTTTGCTACCCGCTGCCCCGTAACCTGACCCTCGCCAAATAAAGCACTTCAGTGCCCATTTGACTGGATTCATTAGTTCAGAAGTGCAAAATGGAACAAATTGTTATAAGTATGAATTTTAGAATTGAGCTAGAAGGGTAGAAAACAGGCGCAGTTTAGTTTGGTGGGGGCAGCAAATGCTATCGTGCGAGACCCGTACAGAGCAACTCGTTGAAACCTGTAAATTATTGTTATCAAAGTGGTCCACTTCTGCCATCTAGCAGCTTCAAAAGAGTTTACAGGTCTTACCAAATACGACCTGTCCCCAAAGATGTACTACGAAAACGAACTGGAGCATGTGCCAACTGTCCCTCCCAAGCCCAGCGCCGCGCCGGAAATGTATATGAAAAGAAAACAAAAAACATCACAAACAAAACGTAAAATAATAAATTAATTAACGAGTGATAGCAATCTTAAGCTATTCACAGGTTCCTGCTGTGAGTTTTACAAGATAGAATATGCCACTCAATAGACGTAGTACCAACGAGCTGGTTGGACGGTCATCAAAGAAACATTCCGAAACAATCAGATGGGCGGAGCCCCACAACCATTGCACTTTCCTTAACGGCCCGACACTTTTTTCAGTGCAACAAAGGGGAAGGATACGCCAATAGTGAAGGCAAAATGGACGTGGGTACCCGCCCACCCCATTGTTGCGGAATTCGTCTACGGGAAAGTCATAGCCGCTCCAATTGCAAACATGACGTCACGAAGAGTGAGAATGATTCTCAAAGTCCTAGAGTGAAACAAGGACGCAAATACACTTCGAGAGTTACAGCACCTATGTGAAACCCTCTCTCCGGTGCTAGCCTTTTTAAATTTTTCGAACTTTGGCACTATTTACCCTTTACTGCCCCAGTCATCCGAAATCAGGCCAGTTCCTGACCGACTTTTTTCTCCGTGGGCAGAATTTGCTGAAAACTTGGCTCCGGGGGTAGTTCGACCCGCTGAACACGAATATTGCATCCGCTTGACCCGAAACCTCCTGGCGCCCCGCCAAATACTCGAATAACCAAGATTCGCTGAAAACTTGCTCCAGGGGGTAAGTTTGACACGAATATCACCTTCGCCTCGACACCCGAAACCTCCTGGCGCCCGCACCACGGGCACCGGCGCCAAAATACCCCAAATCATTGGCGCCTGTGGCGCGGGCGCCAGGAAGTTTTGGGCTGAGCGAATGTGATATTCGTATTCTGGAGGTCACACTACCCCAGGAGACAACATTTGCAAGTAACACGTTGTTGGATACAAGGAAATAAGAACGATTTAAGAGATAATGTAGAGAAAAGACATAATAGAGGGTGACCAACAGGATGATTGTATTACGTAAAGACAAAAATACAAAGAAATAAAAATGATGGAAGGGGTTATGTTAAAAAGATAAACCGCTAGAGAAATGGACAGAAACCAAAAAATGTGTAGGATGGACAAAGAGAAGAGAAAAATCTGCCACGGAGAAAATAATTTATCGTCAGGAGCTGGCCTGATTTCGGATGAAGCTGGGGCAGTAAGGGTAAATGTGCCGAAACTTTGCTGGTAATTTGCTGGTAATTTGTAGCAGCTCTGCTCCATTCGACCGGGCAGCCTCACGAAGAGGGCCACGGGAGGAGCGACAATGTCTAAAGTTCAGCGAGAATGAAACGCGATCAATCTAGACTCGAATAAATGGCGCTCGCATTACTGGATAGCGATATCCAATGTTAGGCGATAATCCATATGGCAATAACGAGAACATTTTGGGCTTCAGTCATTGCTGATCCTCTTTCTATGAAGCGATTTACAAGAGGCAATAAGGGAGGCATCTCTATCCCCGCCTACATAATCAGCGCGCAACGTGCCTTTAACTCCTCAAAAAACGACACCTAAGACTTACCGTACTATATATCCCAGGATATCTCCGCTCCAAAGTTCTTCCTGGGGTTGTTGCCACTGCACGATGATACTGTTCGCAGATCGTGCCGAGGCGGCCACATTTCGATGTTGTGCTGCCGGCGCGGTTCTGCTGGCATCGTCACGTAGCTAATAAGAGAAGGAATAGTTAGCTGTTGATGTCCTCTAATTGCGTTTTATGAATTTTGTGGCAACAGATGTTCCATATAACTAATCATCAATAATCATTCAACGAGTGAATATGCAAATTAAAGCTAATCCGCACGTTCCTGCTGGTGAGTTTTTACAGGAGAGAATATGCCACTCAATAGACGTAGTACCAACGAGATGGTTTGGCGCTCATTAAAGAAACACTCCGAGACAATCAGATGGGCGGAGACCCACAACCACTGCGCTTTCCTTACTGGCCCGAATATTTCTTTTCAGTGCGGGAAAGGACACGCCAACAGGGAAGGCAAAATGGACGAGGGTACGCCGCAAACCTGATAACGCCGATATTTGTCTGGCGATATGTGAAGGTGTCTGGTGATACATGGGAAGCCATAGCCGCTCAAGTGTAGATCTATGACGTTCCACAGAAGTTGAGATGATCGCTCAAATTCTCTAGAGTAAACAACGACGGAAGACTCTGAACAGCTACGGTACTTATGTGAAACCCGGCAAACTGTGAGCGGCCAGCCTTAAAGACAGCCCCCGCGATCAAAGTGGCTCGTGGTCGCCTTTGCTGTGCAAGTAGTCTAGCCTCCAAGCTAGAAGACTGTTCACCTTTCGCGACTCTATTGTGAGCGTGGAGGCTGCTATAGCCGCTCAAAGTGCTAGTTCTAACTCCTCCTCAGTCGGACCGCCTTTACTTGCTAGATGTCCTCCGACGAGGCCACTCACTTGTTCTTAGTTGGGGCGGCGGGCATTGCTAATGCCCCTGGATAATTCTGCTCTCCTTCATTACAGTTTACTCATTGGAGGTATATACATTCAATTCAACCCATTTCGCGAGGTGAAACGCGTAAAAAACACGAGTGACGCAATTTTCGTGATGCAAAAGCCAACGAACGGCAACAAAAGTGCGCGTAACCGTAATCACAAATTCAGACACACGCAAATGATAAAAATCCATGTTTCGTTGCCCAGAGAGTTTTCCTCTGCGTTTTTGTTGTTTCTTTTGTATTCTTTCTTTTGCACTGGATGATATCAACTACTGCGAGATGTGATAGAGAGACTTGTGAGCTAGGGGTTGCACAGAGACCGCAGGGAGGTGTAACTGTGAGGGAGCGATTTTGTTTATGTTGTTCTGGAGAACGCTTCGCCTGTTTTCTTCTTTGGGAGATTACTTATCAGCTGCTGTTTCATAATTGGAAAGCAGCTATCCATGAGACTTTTATCGCGGGAGCTGTCTTTAATTTGTGCACATTAGGGGACACTGTGCTCGAATATCCAGTCAACGAAAGCGCGCGGTCGCGACGCAATCACGCACTATTACTTCACGGGTGAGTTCGAGAATACGCGAGACAGACAGTTTGTGTTCATCCGACATCACGTCCTGAGAGAGCCAAAGAAAAAGGCCTTCGGGGATTGAAGGGGCACGCTGCAGGTCTAACCACACTCACTTCGGCGTCTGCGCTCTCTATGGCTCCATCTTTGAGAAGCTATAAGATCACGTTGAAGAGAGGCGGAGACGGTCAGCCCTTTTCTTAGTCAAGCAGCTTCCCCCTCTGGAGTGTTATTTTGCGTTCTAAATCTCACAAACTAAGGGGACACAAATACCCATCAGTGTTTTCTATAGCAGGACTTACCAGAAGGTAACGACGGCTTTCCGGACCCGTATCGATTCGATGCGACCACTCGAAACTCGGCTGTTACCGATGGTCGTAGATTATCGATAAGAACAGAACAGCATTCCTAGAAAGTTCTAGTACACTCCATATCTCGGAGATGGGGAGGGCGTGACTGCGCACTTCGTATAAAATTCGCCGCGGCTACTTTTTTCGGTGAGATATTATCATTTTGGGACAATTGTAGTCATGCCTTTGTCCACCATAACACAGGATGACAGCTGTCTTGAAAAGTAATATCTCATGAAAAACGGATCTCAGGCGATGTTTAAGTGAGGTATGCCGCCACGCCCTCTCCGTCGCCGAGATATGGAAAAAAAAATTCAATAGAATGAAGCACATATATATCTATATGCGAATAAGTGCTCCAAGGCTACTACCAATTTTCGATCCGTCTTACCTCGTGGGTACATTATCAACGACAGTCTCCCAGTCGCTCCACAACTGCGTTGGGCCAACCGTTCGCATTTCGACAGAATGCCTTCAAATGTTCGAGAATCATTGCGAGAACAATTCATCGAAGAAACCTGCAACTCACTTGATGATTGGCGAATTCCCATCGAAACCCTCCACCCACGAAACACGAATCTTTGCCGGTAAGGTAGTGTTGATGAGCTCAGCACGAACAAACGTTGGCATTTGCGGTCGTTCTTAATAAGAAAAATTATTATTCAAGACAACTGGCCATTTACGAGGCGGCTCTTTAGCACAAAAAGGAGTAAGACAAAACTATTCGGGCGTTCAAACTAGAAATCAAACGAAGAAAGTGGAAGCAGAAAGCTCAATCGATTGAGAATCTCGCATAGATGCGGAAATGAGGATATAAGCGACACTTCATACCAGCTAAGTTACTTTCTTGACGCTCAAATTCTGCAATGCCAAATCCAAGATATATGCGCAACACGCATCACGCAACAAGGCCATTGAGTCCACCATCGTCAAGACGGAACACAAGGAAGTACAACGCTACAGCAAAACTCACCAATGATTCGCAAAAACGCTGACGCGCTTTCTTCTCGTCCATCAGCCATCACTGTACATCGATACTCTCCAATACTGTCCGGTCCCACTTGTTGTATGAGAAGTCCGCCTTTTTTGTCGCGACTAAGGCGTAGTCCCGGATTTCCATTAATTGGAATTGGTTCGTCCTGAGAATATTTGGTTCAGTAATCAGTAAACTAATCGATAACTAAAAAGTGGAGCAGGCGTAGCGTGGGTACGCGGGTGACAAGAGAATCGCAATTCGCCGCGCTGGTTCGCGTCGCGTGCGACATCGCGCCGCAAATGACGATGGTTCCAGGTAGTAGATGGCGACAACAGGCAATTCAGAACCGAAAATAGTCATGTCTACGATGACGGGGTCTACATGAAGTCCGGTGCTCCAATCGACAGGTTAACACGAGTTAAGAAAACGCCGCGCCCATCGCCGCGCGCGGCGGAGCGGCAAATCGCGGTTCTCTTGCCCGTCTCCCTGGGTACGCAGTCAGTTCAACAGGTCGGAGCATGAATGACGTCATATATCATGTTAATGACGTCAGTGACAGCGATACGGTACAAGCTTCCTCGTCAGTTACTTGATATGCGACACGTCATGTCATAACCCTTGTGCGCACCTCTGCTACACCTGCACTGACGAATTACTGACTACTCGTAGTAAATCAATAAAGTCGATAAATCAATAAACTCTTACATTGATGAACCACATCAACTGAGCATTTTGTTTATATTCCGGGCTAACTTCGCATGGAATCATGATGTTTGTGCCAATTACGACGCTCTGATTGGTTGGCCCGTATTCGATCAGATTCGAACCTGAACGTCCAGTTTTGGAGTAGCCTGACAAACCCGTGGACGAGGGGGTCATCATCTTGTCACTCACCTGTCGACGTCACTCTAGCTGTCGCGCTCGTCATTCCATTGTTGTTCCTCGCTATACAACTATAGCTGCCACTATCTGATTTCTTCAGATCGTGGATTATCAAGCTATCAGCGATGACGTCATATTTGGTTGAATCCGATGTGATGTCTCTATCTGTAACTGCATCCTGATTTCATGACAAATGAATAGAGCGTTTGTCCACATTTGGTGAAAATCATTGTCAGACGCGTGCGTTTGCGACGCGGCCGATCAATCCATATACATTGTAAACGCATGCCAATTTGGCAATGTGTTAAACACGCTTTTTTGAGGAGAAGAAGGGCGAAGAATGCAATTTCTACAAGAATACCGCGTATGCCCTGCCCTCTCCCTTCAAAGCACTTACGTCCACCCCCTTCAAATGTTTTGTAATACTTTCTAACGCTTTCCGATTAGGAGACACGACCGCAACGAGGCAGTTGTGACCTTCGATTGTACAAAAAAGCCAAGGCATTCAAATTATCTGCTGAAATGACCTCTT